AAAAGGACTGCTCTATGCTGGTCTTATGCTCTATCTGGACCAGATGTGACAATATCGAACTGCGAATACTCCCTTATTTTGTCACAGTAGTAGATCTTTCAGAGCTCGAAAATTCAATTTCATACAGCAACAGCCAATACATTGCGGGATTTCCATTATTATACAGTCATCGGTCTATGTGCTGATTTGTAGATTTTCTTGCATTCATACATTTCAAGATTGATCACGCACTGATTTCAGTCAGAGAACCATAGGAAACCTGGGAGTACACGGCAGTTGTTTTGCACTTGCTCCGAATTCTTCAGGAGAAGGCTTCCATGATACCATTGGGGAGTGAACCCAAGACCTTCAGGATGCAAGGCGAGCTCATTGAACCACTGGGACGGAATCCAATGGCCTATGGAGGCCGGAAAATATCAAATTATACGTTCATCGTAAAATAGTAAAAATAATGAATTCACAGCAAATTATGGTTGTTACCTGGCACTCAGCGTCAAAAATAAGATCCGGAGTTTCAACTCCAATGTAAAGTCAGTGCTACTTACTATACGGATCAGAGACTTGGCGACGCGTCACGAAGGCCACTTCGAACAAACTACAGACCTTCATCAACAGCTGTCTTCGCTCAATACCACTCAAGATCAGATGGTCAGAAAAGATCAGTAACAGGGATCAATGGCAATGAGCGAACCAACCAGGAACCGATTGTGAAACAAATAGGCAGGAAGAAATGGAGGTGGATTGCTGGCCATACTCTGAGGAAACCATCAAGTGACATCACTAGACAAGCCATTGCTCGAGTGGAACCCGAAAGGGAAGCGGCGAGTTGGTCGTTAGTGCAAGGGTGACATGGAGGAGAAGGAGGTCATGTGAAGAGGAGATGAAAACGTGTGGGCAGACGTGGAGCCAGGTGAAGACTCTAGCAGAGAACCGAACGCAATGGAGACGCGCGGCTGAAGCCCTATGTTCCTCTAGGAACTAAAGGAGACAGTAATAATAATAAGGTTAGCAAATTGTATTTTTCCCCAACAACTTTAGTTAGTCTTCACCAAACACTTTCTTAGCTGAAGATTTTGCCCCTTACAACAATTCCCTTTTCACCTAGTACTCTGGGTTAACCTGAATACACATCCTTACTTAAACAACGTTATTTAACGACAGTGTGTTGTGTAGACTTCCTCAAAAACCAGGCTAAATGGATATGTACATATAGCTTCGATGCTTTAGGAAAAGAATTAAACCTTCTGATAAAATTCTACGTAGATTTATTGACAAGCACACCAAACCGAAAGTTCAGAGAAACAAAACATCATTCATGCCTAAAAAAGAAACTTTACATTAATTTTGATTTTAAGGGAGATTTACCCTAAGATGTTGATGTTCTTAAGAGAAGAATTTCAACATCTTTGAAAGGAGCATTTTCCGCAGAGACGATAAGATTAGTGTTCCCCAGTCATCCACGAGTCTGTGGAAGCCGAAAGGACAAGATCTCGCATTTTATCACTTCTATGAGCATATATCACTTTGACTCTCCCCATGGAGTCAGGTACAGTGGTCATTCGATGCGTATCCTGTCTAAAAAACAGTTCAAGAACACTGTTTTGCATGACTGTGGAATAGTAGCAGTCGCTCAGTAAGGAGTGCGATAACTGAACACTGTCCATTCTATCTCAAAAAAATCTTCCTTCAAGTGAGAAACAACCCAGCAAAACAATGCGCTTTTGTCTTCTCAGTATTGATGAAGCTGTAGCCGTTCAGATAGCGAAATCACAGCTCGGCTGATAAAAGAAAACTGTTCAACCTCATCTACTATCACGAAAACGATCCCGTTGTTTTCTACCAACCCTATTTTCAATATAGAAAAAACTCCCCATTTAGACATTTGGAAAACAGAAGGATTGAGCAGCGAAGAAATATTTACTTTTCAATTAGATCCTCATCTCACTCTGGCTCTACTCTAATATACACGTACAGCATTTTTATTACAATACACAACAATTTACCAATCAAGTGGCACTGATATCTTTGTTAACAATAATTAGTCAGTGTCAACATGTCAAACTGGGGTGATAATTAACGAAGAAAATAAATACACACAATTAAAAGGTAGAAATGGTTGAAACACGTGGATTGCATAATGCATAATTTTCGAAAAATGAAGAGTAATTAAGGAATAAGCGTGTGCACGGGTTGATTACGTAACAGATTGTTAAAGAAAACAAAACGATTTGGACAATGATAACTTGTGACTAAGGATCAAGTGTCATAAAGATGATAAAATAATTTGGACAATTATAATTTTTAAAGGTTTAGGGGGAGGGGGCGAAGTAGTTCGGTTTATACATTCATGTAACGATGGCCAAGGTAAGGAAAGTGGCTGTACAAATTTCTTCTGAACACACAGGTTTGGCTTCTTCAGGTGGATTCCTATTGCTTCAGCTGTATGTAGATGACAAACTCGTAAAGCAAAATTAAGGTTAGTAGGAATGCGATAAATAATTTTAAATGCTGTATTAACGTCAACCTTATGCTCACTAGCATCTACAAGGTGTGCTAAAATAGAGCTACGAATAGATCTTGTTTGTCCCTTGCTTAAACATATGCCGGATGATGTTCGGAAATACGATGATGAACCTGCCTAATTGTACGCCCGATGTAGCTGGCTCCGCAGTTGCAGTCAAACTGGAACATGCACATAGAGGAGGCAAATTTAGGTAGTTTATTTTTTTTTTTTTTTTCAAATTTTGTTTCACCCTTCTATTTCCTTTGAACTCTTAGTGTAGTATCACATTTTTCCTTGTTTCTATTCACATTCTGATTACGGCAAAGTTCAACAATAGCGTCCCAGAAGTGCGAACGCACGAGTGACCTTCAGCTAACCAATCATAAAAATGAGGAATGTTTGCTCAAAAATGATGTATATTGACAAGAAAACGCATTAAACAGGTTATCTTTCTCTGACATGGCTTAAAAATACGTCCTAGTTATAACGAGGTGTATCAGTTGCTTAGTTAGACTAGTTTCTGTACATATATTCACCGAGATGACTGGAGATAAACTGTTTTTGTGAATCGTTCATCTCTCTCATCCTGCTTGCAGTCTGCCAAAAAAAAGCCCTCGGTTGAATTGTTATGGTTTCCAGCAAGAGGATAGACGACTACTTACCAGGAAAACGTGGATAATAAAACAAATTAAAAATAAATGACATCAACTATAAATCTATCCCTAATCGTAACCATAAGCTTAATCCTGACCCTAACACTAACCCTAACCCTTATCCAAACCGTAATTCTAACCCTAATGCTAATAATAACCCTGATCCTAACCTTAAGTTGGTGAATAGCGTTGATATTTCAGCTATGATAATGACAGATGCCGTTAGCCAATGACTAGCATGCGTTCAAGGTCATTGGCGCGTTCACACTCCTGGGACGCTGATTACAACTCATTCATTAGATTACTTATCTCAATCCATAACTCTAACGACTCTTATTTAACTACTCTTATATATTAGTAGAAATCTACTGTACTATACTACTGTAAACAATAAGAAGATTCGGATTTTCAACGCTAATGTAAAGTCAGTCAGTGCTTCCTATCTGGTTGAGAGACTTAGCGAACGCGTCACCAAAAGCATTTCGAACAGGTTTCAGACTTTTATCCACACACCTGTCTGTCTTCACTGCATACTGAAGACTAGATAACCAGAAAGGATTAGCAGCAAAGAACTCGATAACAGGCAACTAACCAACCAAGAACTTACTCTCCCTGGCTGTCGACCAAAGGACGTGTATACTGCTCAGCAGTTCGCTCCGTCCTCCTTTATGGCTGTGAGTGAGATATGGTCATTGAAAGTGGGAGATACGGAGAGGCCAGCTAGCTGTCTTTGATCATAGGTGTCTGCGTTCAATCTCCCGTATGTGTTAAGTGGCATTAAGTGAGCAATATTGAGGTTAGGCATCGGTTGAGTGCTAGGTAAGGAGGGAGGGGAAATCAATCGACGAGACTGTGAAGTTACACCGATTGAGATGGTTAGGACATGTGTCACGCACGCCTAGTCATTGCCTTCCTCGACGGGAAATGTCAGCTGATAGACATGCGATCAGGTTCGAAAAGAACTAGTGGTGGTCAGACGAAAACATGGCCTCATCAGTCAATGAAATCCACAACAGTTAGTTTAAGCCAGTCACGTAGGGAGATGTAGACTTCCTGACTGGTTGGGGTCCTCGGGATAGTAAAAATCAATGAAGGCTGGAGACAATTGGTGATATGGCTCAAAATCTTTCTTCTCAATGGCGCAGATGCATTCACTCCTTGTGATTTATAATATCCAATAAAATTCTATTGTTCTTCCATATTACTATTCTGTTTGCCTCACATTTCTGTTTAATATCTCTCTTTACGCTCTTTTTTGCTTTGTGTGCTACATGGGATGTGGCAACTTGAACTGTTGCACATCTGTGCAAAGTTCTACGTTGAAACCAGTCAGTCAGTCGGTCAACCTACTGCCCCCAAAAATATGCTAAGTAAAATGGAGATGGATAAGGCACATACTGTGGAAACCATTAAGTGATATTGCACGCCAGACCCTCAAGTGGAACCTGAATAGGTAACGACAAGCTTGGCTTGGCTTCCAAGGGTGACACAGGAGATCACATGAATGAAAAGAGGAAATGAAAGTCTATGGCCAGTCGTGGAGTTAGCCTTAAAGGGACTGCAGAGAACCGGTTGAAATGAAGAGGCGTTGTTGAAGCTCTGTGTCCCACTAGGAACCTAAGCGAATTATAATATACTGATTAATATCGGCGACTATGATTTTTACAATTTATCACTTTTGTTACTATGCGGTTGTACAGCTTAAGAAGTAGAATGAATTCGCCGAAATCAGCTCCTTCGTTGAACTATTTGTTTTCACACATATATCGCACATTTATTCTTAAAGGCTACACATTTGCATATCTGATTTCTACTAGTAGCAATTTCCATTTGAACTTATATTCCATAAAGTTAGAATAAAATTGATAACTAGTTGAATCATAACTTTACATAATTACAAAATCTATTTACACAATTCTAAACAAACATTGTTCTAGTCTTAAAGCACATAAAACTCAATATTTTGACCAAGGATAGGTATTCCAATCTGCTTCGAACCGATTGCAATTCGGTTGCTTCATAGTACCATCAGGATTTCGCCTAGATTCAACTGATTGAAGAATTGATTTATCTAAACGCCATAGACCACTGTAACGATATTCATTGCCGTCTTGATTCAATTTATACTTGTAGTGTGAAGTGAAAAACTCCTTGAAGAATCCAAAATTCTCATATTTCTTGTTGTGCCATTGTCTTAGGTATCTACGAGTTAAGTATCTGTAGTCACCAACATCGTCTGCATTCGGGAATACCTGTAATACAAATTATCAGATAAGTTAGACCAGTGAGATTATAGCAAGGAGCAAAATAAAAGGCATAGCTCTTACACTTGATACCCGATACCAGCGGTACATTCACTTCAATGCTAACTTTCAAGATGGCTGTGTAGAATACGCATAATATATAAACAGGCGTGTAAGTGTCCCTCTCTGCATCCGCATAAATGACCTGAGACGACCGTGGGTCTTCCTTGCGAAGTTTCTTCACTGGATCAAGCGTCCCCACGCGTCGACAGCTGTCTTTACAAAAGTCAACGAAGGGTTCACATGTAGGAGAATTGGGGAGCCCAAATCCCAAACTTGACGTATGAATGTGTTTTGGCCACTGGTAACCATGAGAAATACATCCCTTGATGTCGCTTTGCTGTCATGTGGATTAGACTTCAAGTCAAAGGCTCGTGCAGTGGTCTCTTAAGACAACCACCCGGCCCCAGTTTTGTGTGACTATGGAGTATCTCAGCGCTATGGAAGGCTCCTCTGAGATTACTTCGTCAATTATATGTTCAGACATTTGATCCATTATCGTTATATTTTTAGTACGCTTACTGTCTTGAACCGTTCGTTAATGTTTGAAATCTCAGTCTACCAGTAACGTTTTGCGTTGCTAGTTAGTTCCCTTCAGAAGGATGGCGTCCAGTGAGATATGTGCCACGGCTACTCTAATTGCTTGTCGCATTCAAGCTTGCCACCTACAACGTTCACATACTGATGCTAATCAGACATGTTTGGTCAAAACCCTCGGAAACCTCGTTGCTGATAAACGTTGTACCTCAAAGATCTAAATAACAGATACCAGTGAAAGGCTGTCAACATTCTTTCCGTCTACAGGCTTGAATAGTGTGTTCTCTACATGAGCTTATCCTGGAAGCTTGTAGCATCGGCATCCGACTTAGCTGGTGTTGTTAACGCACTAAGAGCTACAGCCGAAGTGACATTACTCAACTGGATTCCCATTAACAGTCGTTTACATCCTGTCTTATCTCAAAGATTACCGTCGATTATAGAGGAACCGGTTGGAGAAAAGTTTTACTTTCGTAACCTTTGCCTACACATTACGGGGTCTGGATGCAGTTATGGATGAGCTTCCTAGCCAGATATCGTAGTACCAGCTGGTGAAATGACAGTCGTTTAAGTAGGCGATGAGGACCAGAAGGTCGGTAGTCTGCACCATTACGTAGATCACAGCCTGTTTCTAGCCAGTACTAACTTTGGGCACAACCAACATAGTATGAACTGTTTGATGGACATAACAATCAATTTTCCAGGGTAGGCTTATATGTTATTGTGTGACAAATGAATAAATATGCCACTTAAAAGTAAGTGATGAATTGTATTCAAACGTACTTGGTTATCTATTTTGTTTTTACGAGTTGATCACGGATTGATATCAGTTAGAGAACCATTGAAAACCAGCACTGGAGTACTGGACAGCTGTTTCATCCTAGCTTGGGAATCATTGGCAGTACGCACCCACCACAGGGGGTTTGAACCCAGGACCTTCCGATTACAAGGCAAGCTAATTCGTATAACATGCAGCCACTGGGATCCAATTCATTGGCCAGCCCATGAATTCTAACTTAGACCAATTCGTGATTTAGCGCGACCTCAATCAATGTCGTAAAAACAAATCTTATCCTTACAAACCAACTATAGAAAATTAATCTGATGCTCGCTAGTGACTTGCTACAGGATGGATTTTCCTGGAGTTTTAGTGAGAAGTCGTGACCAGTGAGGATGGATGTCCCACCAACGACATTGGTTGGTGCTCGCGCTAAATCACGAATTGGTAGAAGTTAGAATTCATGGGCTGGCCATTGAAGAGTCGGGTCCCAGTGGCTGAATGGTATACGAGCTTGACTTGTAACCGTAAGGTCCTGGGCTTGAACACAGCCCGGTGGGCGCGTACTGCCAATGATTCCCAAACTAGGATGAAACAGCTGTTCAGTACTCCAGTGCTGGTTTTCAATGGTTCTCTAACTGATATCAATCCGTGATCAACTCGTAAAAACAAAACTCATCCTTACAAACCAACTATAGAAAATATCTTTTTCGTCTTAGCTAAGATAGATAAGCAGTACCTATTACTGACACTACTCCACTTGAAACAAGGTACTACTGTAATACTTTGAGTACTAGTTTCACACACAAATGTAAACTAACCTTAGGAACGTTGGCAATACTCCCCCCATCACACACCGACAGACTTGTCTCATTACATTCTGAAGAATCAGTAGTTAACGTGGCATCAACAGCAATCCCTCGATGTTTGAAAAATCTACCATCTGGTAGCAGTTTACAAGTGAGCAAATCAGCTTCACTTGGTAAACCATTTTTGAAAATCACCGGTTGTATCCTAACGAGATGTTTGATTTCGTACAACTCTCGGTTAACTGATGGAGTATTTTTTACAATTACCCAAGTGTGATTCTATATAAGGAGAAATTGAACACTAATTTTTTTTGTTTTTATCACATACCTTTGTATCCCTTCCAAGACCGTATTTTTCAAGGATTGCTTTTTGGTAATGCATAACTCCCTTGAGAGGTTTTAGGCGGCAGACCATATGAAGTAGAGGAGGTTCACTTGTTGTTGTTGTTGGAGGATCTACTGGCGTCATTTCTTTCAGCTGGAATAAACGTTTAGCCCATCCTAATGGGTTTTTGTGGTCAGGGCTTCCAGGAATTGGTTTTGACTCTTTTGTATATGACTTGTTACCGTGCTGTACAGAAACATGATACAATCTTGGGTGTATTTTGAAATTCGCCAATAAGCGAGTCCATTGTGGGTTCATCACATGTATTTAGTTATATTTCAGGTCGATGGAAATGCCTGTAACAAAGACATGAGACTATAATATACACACATATGTATCTAATATAAATTCTTTAGTAGAAAATACTGAAGAATACAACTTTGAAAGCTGTAATTTTTGTATGGTAGATATTAGCCTACAGAACAAGAAAAATATAAATACTCAAGAATGTTTAGTTAAGAATTATTCAGTTGAAGAATGTTCATCCCTGATGCAAAGCTAAAATCACGTATACGCAATTATCTCTGAAATAAGTCGATAAAATTTCATGAAATAGAATTCTATGTAAAGTTATCACCCATATATACACAGGGTTCCAAATACAAACAAAATAATACCACAGGTTACTTCTTATTTACCTTAAAATATAATTGAACTTTATGTCATTCTAGATTGAACTGTAGAGCTAACACTAAATATGTGAGGTAAATGATAGTATAGAGTGCAAGTAAACTATCGTTGTAAAGAGAGACATGTGCCTAACTCCATTATAGCTTGATTCCACACCGTATTTTTGGTACAAGTATGGAATTTTCATCATGTCATATCGGCAGCCCAAATTTTGCAGGCCAACCATTGATATCAGATGTGCGTCGTCAAGGGATCGAACCCCGGACCATGTGCATATATATATATATATAAATATGGAGAGGGAGTCTTTCTGACTTCTGTCTGTCTGTTTTCTACATAGAACTTTGCACCAAAGTGCAGCAGTTCAAGTCGCCATACTCCCTCCATGTAGCACACAAATCAAGAGAAGAAAGTGGAAGAAATGCAAAATAGAGATAGTAGACTAGGATATGGGACAAAAGGAATAGTAATAAGGAAGAATAATATAGTCTCATCGGAAATTATAAGTCACAAGGAGTGGATGCATCTAACTGCTCTAGCCATTGAGAACGATGCGTTCGAGCCATATCACCGATTGTCTTCAGCCACTGTTGTTTATCGTCTCGAGGATCTCAACCAAGATGTCTACACCTTCCTACGTGACTGGCTGGCTGGCTTTAACTAACTGTTGTGAATTTTATTGACTGATTACCAAGTCATATTTTGGCTTGACCACCGCCAGGTCTTTTCCAACCTGATCAACCCTATGTCAGTCAGCTAACATTTCCCGTCGGTCGAGGAAGGCGATGACTAGGCATACGTAACACATGTCCTAACAATCACAATCGATGTAGCTTCCCAGCCTCGTCGATTGATTTCACCTCTCTCCTTACCTAGCACTCGATCGATGCCTAACCTCAATATTACTCATCGTATTATACCACTACCTAACACAGGGAAGATAGAACGCAGACACATATGATCAAAGACAGCTAATATTTTCATGTCTTCCACTCTCAATGGCCAGGTCTCACAGCCATAAAGCAGGACAGAGCGGACTGCTGAGCAGTCCTCTCGCCCTTCGGTAGATAGCCAGTCGGATATCACGTCTACTAAGCCAGAGACGGCGTAAACTGGCATATGTGAAACTAGCCGTCCGTATCCGTGCTTAGATTTCGTCAGCGATCAACCCGTTGGGGGCTGCGAATAACGTTAAACACATAACTAGAAGATAGAGACAAGAAGCTCAGAAAGATTTCTAATTTAAGAAGAAGAAGCTCTTACTAACATCAGTTTGATCATAGCGAACAAAATTTGTATTGATGATGTGACTATGCACAAACCATTGCATATGAACAGATTACTGTTCAGTGCTGTTATATGTATCATCTATCTACTTAAAAAACACGATTTCGTAAAAATTAACCTTCAAACAAAAAATCACAGTATTCTAAACTGATAATTTAAACAATCTACAATTGTCATCGATTTGCATACAGTCCATAATTATCACAAATGAAGGAAGTGATTCTTGTGACTAAAAATAAACGTGAATTCATTCACACAGAGTTAAGCACTGGCTAAGTGCACACTTATATGAATTTTTTTCAGAGATAATAATAGCAGATTAACTTTCTGGCGTTAATCGTTTCAGCAGTTATCTCACAATGATATAAGAATAGAACTTGTGCACTGTGGAGGTAGAATATAATTCCATTTATCAGTAAATATTACTGTTTAACACTGTGAGACTTTATCAAAGTAAATTTTACCCACAATGGAGCTATCTCACAAGTAAGAATAATATCCTCTAAAATTCAATCGAAAAAAAGCTTCCTAAGGAACACTTGATATGGTTTAAGACATTAAATACTGCAACTATTTTTATGCACTACAAATATTCCCTTGAAGGGAAACTACCACCATAAGTCCAAGAACTTGTGGATGTCTGTAAAGAGTTTCAGTGAAAAGGCTATGAATAGCTTCGTTCTAATGCAGCACTTTTAAATGCTTGGATGAGGAAGATATGTTCCACTTTAAATGTTGCATTTATGCACCGGATACTTACTTCATACAAACAGCTCAACTCACTCAGAAGCATTCTGTAATGAGCAATTAGTGTTGGCTGCTGGCTGGATTCAACATAGAACTTGGCACCGAAGTGCAACAGTTCGAGTTGCCACGTTCCAAATAGCACACAAAGGTAGATAAGAAAATGAGTGAAGAGAATCAATAGAGTTTTGACAAGTATAAGAGTGAAACAGAATGAGTAATGGCAGAAAGGAATATGAAAGATTACAGAGACTGAATACATCTGCGTAAGCCATTGACAACGATTTTCAGCCATGTCACCTATTGTCTCCAGCCATTGATTCTTAGAGTCCCGAGGGCGGGCCCCAACCCGGAAGTCTGCATCTCCCTACTTGACTCAGTTTAACTGTCAGGGATTTCATGGATTGATGAGGCCATGTTTTTGTTTGGCCACCACTTACTCTTTTCCAACCCACAACACCTATATCAGCTAGTAATGGCCGCCCGTCGGGGGAGGCGATGGTTAGGCATGCGCAGCACGTGACCTAGCCATCTATAAATCTATGTAACTTTATAGCCTCTTCGATTGATTTTCCCTCTTTGCCCAACCAACACTCTACGCCTAACGTCAACATTACTTACCCTATTATACCACCTAACGCGAGAAAGAGATCGTAAACATCTGTGGTCAAAAACAGACAACCTTTTCATGTCTTCCTCTCTCAATGGTCACGTCTCACCACCATAGAGAAGGACGGAGCGAACTGAACTGAGCAGTACACACGTCCCTTGGTTGATAGCCGGATGTCACGCCTACGCCAGAGACGGTGTAAGTTAGCGAAAGCAGCCCGAGCTTTTTGGATCCGTGCTGAGATTTCGTCACCAATCAATCCGTTGGTGCTGATACAACTTCCCAAATAGGTGAAGTGGTCAACATGTTCTATCACTTCACTCCCTATCACTAAGCTAGGGGTAGACGTAGTCCAGTCCTGTAGCAGCATCTTACATTTTACAGGGGCGAATCGCATGCCAAACATACGAAGATTGCAATTAGTGTGACTAGATCTGTTCCTATTGTTTTATGACACCAAGTGTGGATCAGCGTAAATAATCTATACCCTTCAAAAAAACCTGCTTGAACTCCTGCAAATAACAACTGTCTCTTGATTCCTTACAAAGTAGCACTCAAACTTTGATCATCGGAGTTTCCATGTAAACCTGAGCTTCTCATACACAAAATTTAGAAACTGAGACTTTATCCGAACACCTTCACCTGTTTTACAAACTCATTTCAAGGAAATGCTAGATGATTTTTTAAAATATTCAATGAGAGAAACTGACATTTTTCTGGTGATTAAGGACAGGCATTGGTTTTAGAATATTCTTATACATCCAATTGTTAATATGTGCTACTTATGTGCCGATATGTGTTCCGTGAGTATTTCCAAGTAGAAAAATATGTAATATTACTTCCCTTAGCTTTCAAACGGAATTCAGCTAGCGGTAGACTGTTTATATGCCTTAGCTTATTCAAGCCATTTGAAGGCATTTCAGTTTATCTCCCGATTGTTAGTTGTCACCTGGATGTGGTGATCGAGTTTGCATATTGCGACGACTCAACGAAGTAAACTAGCTAGGGAGGAACGTTCCTGGAGGTCTTAACATGCCAGAAAGGCCATTTGGATTGTGATCAAACAAAAAGCAGTTATCACCATAGTATAAGTCGTTTGCACTATGCTGGAGGTCTCTGTACAAAGTCATACTGCTAGTGAATAGGGATGTAAAAGCACTTAAGTGTTCCACTGACATAACCAGCAAGCCAGCTAAGCTACCTCTCCATTGTGGAGAGAAGGGTTAGGAAAGATCGACCCCGAAAAGTGTACGTCCCGACTTACCTTGAGAAGGCTCGTGGCCAGTGATAATTCTATAGTACGGACACAACTCCGGAAACCACTTCAAAAAGCCTGTGTGACCCATTTCAAGTAGTTACCCCTGGGCTTTGTGGTCACACAACACTAATACCCTACCTGTTTTAGGTGCTCCAAAAAGAAATGGACTTCCACAGTGTGGGGTGCATGGAAGGAACAACCCCCCCAACACGCTTCCATAGGCACGCAAAGCTTTCCTGATCATCACTCTATCCTGTTGGTTAGCCATTTTTCATGACTTGTCTCCGGGAGATATCTCTCTAATTTCACAAATGGATCACCTTTTGATTAAAATTTTTAAAATGCGGGCGATAGTGACAATCGGGTGGAAGTAAGTCAGCACAAGGTTACATCACCATCGCTTTGTATCCCCTTAATAATTTGGCTACAGTTTATTATAATAATCTATTATGGTAATTCAAATAAGCATACTATAAACACTTACAAGAATGATAAGATTATGAGGCGAACTGAAAAGCACCACACGTGACAGTTATTTAGGTTAGAAAAGGGTAGTCTTAGTACCCTTGGTAAGGACCTGCTACGAGCATCTAATGAGACCAGTAAAAAATATCCCCAATGCGCTAAAAAGCAGATCCAGACAAAGCGAATATCCTCAAACTTCACTAACTCTGCTACAGAAGTGCAACGTTGAGATAAGTGTAGATGGTCTACTTAAAACTAAACTGCGATTGTTATCTTTAATTTCGCCTGTCATATTTATTTAC